CAAGAAGTCGGCTTTTCAAAGCTCTAACACGAGGCTAATGACTGACACTGCATGAATGCACTAAGCAGCAAATGCACTAATTAGTGTCATTATCGACTCATTGCCATAGTAACTGTTGCATCTAGCAATGCTCATTTAAATCACGCGGTAGTACGAAGGCAGCAGAAGCGAAGTTCATATTCACATGCCTATCACCCAGTACCACTGTTGTTTGCAATAGTTACCAACCAAACAACGTCAGCGTCAACATCGTGTGCTGCTAGCAGTGATCAAAGTAATGGGTAGGTTGCCAGGGAAAAGACAGGTGGAATTTCCTGCATGTACTTGGAACCGCAGTCCTGAATTTCAAATCTGGTGATTAACGTCGCAGCCTTACCTGAAAGGTTGCCGCTAAGGAGAAGGACCCAAGTGACGAAAGAAAGATGATTTTGTCAGAAGTTGAGTTATTTCATTATGTAAAAAATTACCTTTTGATAGTTTCAAATATGAAAGTAGGGTTCCCCATAGATCTTAGCAATCCTAGAAAAAGAAACTATGAAACCCTTTCATCATGCTGTCGAATCTTTGGGCATGAAGAAGTTTAGAATTATTTTTATGCGTGTATAAACTGTGTTCCTTATTCGTACACCGAGAGTCACAACGAAGCTACAACATGAACACGATCGGTTACATATAACGATATATTATGATCCTTCATAACGGCAAGCCTCTAATGTTATTTGATACCCTTCTCACGAAACTTCTTTGGGTGATATGTTTGGGTGTCGAAGAAAAGGTTGTCTTGGTGTTAGAGATGATGATTGTTGCCTAAGGCTGGTGTTGTTTCAACTGGAAACCAATGACAGTGAGAGCAAAGGGTGGATGCGAGGTGAAACTCATCAGCTGAAATGACACGCAGGCACAATCAACTATCAGTATATCATAATATGACACATAGAATATAAATCCGTCGATAGATGGGTAATTAATCAGCAGATATACTCTTGATATGAAGGATCAACTTCTACTAGGTGTACTGTAATGGTATTCCAAAAGCATTTCAGACTGCCCAAAGCGATGTCTCATTGAAATGTGAGTGATAATCAGGCTTCGTCAGCGGAACTACTGGATGAAGGCGTTCTCGATTATAGTCTGCTGATGGGTAGCTTCCAATTTACTGATTACATTTTACATAACTACCTTCGATGAACTCATTGACTTTATACCGTATCCCTTATCCTGGCATTGTCACAAATTTTTTTCTGCTGAATTTTAATTTTATATAATTGAGCTTTGGGTACTTTCCGTAACAGTTGCGCCAGTCAAATTATTTATTAAACATAAATGTTTTGAAGATTTTGTGTTTAATGGAATGGCTTACTTATCTTGGGCTTAAGTTTGCACATCATTTTGGTGTCATATGCAAATCCCTTTGATGATCACAATGAAGCTTTCCGAATATCTTAGTAATATTTCTGAGTTTGAACTTTAATCCTGTATTGCAGTTTTGAAGGTCAGTCATTTCGTCATGTCATAATTATGGCCTTAATAAAGTTTGCTTCTAGTTTATCTTTTGATCACAGTAATGATGGTGCGAGGAACATCAATAAAAATGATAACATTATCATGCAGAAAGTCATGCATTTTATTTTGATCATTATTACAATTATAATGATCATAAGCAGTAGTCGTATTAGTAGTAGGAATAGTAGTCTGTTAGCTATATCACTGTCTTCGCTATGTCTTCCTTTCAAGACAGTAAAAGTCATTATCATTATGATCAGTATCATGGAAGTCATTTACATGCGTCATAATCATCTTTCTATGATAATTATAGCAATTATGACAGCAATTATCTAATTATGAGGGTCTCTCATCATACAGTTAATATATTCATTGTGACTATAGTGACGATCGTTCTGATGAATATGATATGAGTGTCACATAGATGAACATTGTCGTGATGGCTCAGATCATAAAATCAGGATCGTGATCAACATTATAATGAGCATAATCAGAATAATTACGATGGATATCAAGATGGTAACAGTGTAAAAGTATAAGCATCATTATCATAGTGTAAAAGTCATTGTGATAATTGTAACTGACATCATTTGTGTTATCATAATCACTGTTTAGAATATGATAGTTACAGTTGACACCACAGTTATAACCGTGGTTGTCACTGTCGAATCAGAATTATGATCGGCGTTATTGGCATCATTTATAGGATCATGATAATGATAAATACATTCGCGGTTATATCGTGATGAAAATGATCGATTATTAAATGGTTAGTATGATGAATGTGGCGACGAGCTGTATAACAGTTAAGATGATAGTATCGATTGGATGATATGCTTGTTATCGTCATACGTGTTGCCGTCCTTACCGTCAATCATATCATTGCTGTCATAATGATTCGCATCATACTTATTATTATCATGATGAATATATAATAATCGATCATTTTCATCACGATAAGATTGTGGGGATGATCAACATATACGTTACGACCACATTTTTCGCTATCATTATGATCATTGCAATAACCATCATGATAATGGTAATCATTTTTTTGATGGTCAGTGCTATGTGATTATCGTTCTCTTCAGCATTTGATATACCCTCATCAGGGTGTGAATATGATGACCTATGAACTTCATTGTACATTCGGACTTCCTAGCATGTAGGAAATGACATCAGCTATTGCACAGGTCAAAGAAAAGCCAAAAGAACTAAAGCTACCAACCGTCTATGACAGTTTGTGACTGTGACACTGCTAACTTTATATAAACTATAAACTACATATATTATATACCTAAGCTACTGCTTATGAAATAGAGTGTTCTTTCGTTCTTCCGTCAATGATGTATATTCAAGTGGATCTTGATTTATCATAAGTCAGTGCGTCACTGATTCGCGCCTTGAAGGTGAACGACGACTCGTAGTGGACATCAAAGTTGCAGCTGTCGATAATTGCTGTTCCATTACTACCTAATTCCCTGAGTAAAAATAAAAATATGTTGTTTGCCAGGTGAATGGCTGATCAAATAGACTTTACGATCCGATACAAACCTAGATTTTGCCACATTTTAACTGCGGAAGCGGGAGAAAAATCTCGTATCGATTCGTTGCCTCATTTCATTTGCCTTTGCACCTGAATAAGACAAAATTTTTTACCTCATGAAAGCGGGTGCCGATCAGGTCTAAATGCCCGAGTCAAAAGTTAAGTACCTCATCTGCCGTTTGGTGGCCGAAGAATCGTCTTCCCCTTTGCAGGCTAGTGCGCTAAAACAAGGCAGTGTCGCAGCTGATATCCTTTAGTCAAAGCTTAAGAGAGATTTGCATAAGTAGTGACCCTTTCAAGGCAACAACAACCGTAATTAAAGGTCATAGGTAGCTTTACTTAGTGGTGATAGGTGGTTTACTTGTTAAGAAACTATTTAGCGGGTCTTCATCAGAAAAACATGAATTCGACTCCTGTACTAGCCGCCATAAGAAAAATCTCTTTGTCCCTCATTTTTTGAGCTGCAAACATACTTTGGGGTGCTGTTCCGTTTGGCAATTTATTTCCTAGGACAACCTGATTATCCTTCGGTAGAACTCGCATACAGAATCAGCATTAATCACCACGTCCCAAAACTGCCTTGTAGCGATCCATTTGAAAGTGAACCGCGGTATTTGTGCTGCAGTTATTCTGTTGCCGTTGATTTCCTTGGCTCCCTTAACTGACCGGTTCCCTTCGTGCAGCGTTTACGGGAGCTGTTTGCTTTTGGACTAAGGAGGCAGAAGAAAGTGCAGATAGTGGCCGCCTGACGAAAGCAAACAGCGAGGTAAATAGCGTGCTTTGTGCGGCACTTTCCCTCACCGCAAAGGCATTGATGCCAGAGGCGCCGAGCGGATGACCGTCGCGTGTACCAAGCAAACACTGTTGGCGGAAGCCACCGCCCACAGCTGTTTCGGTCGCTTTCGATATCCGACTTCATTTACATAAGTGTCCCCACCAAAAGACGACAGGTTTTCTCTACTCCTCAATAAGTATATCTATGTAAGAGCTACAAAAAACAAGGAAAATTGGCCATTGTGACGCTATTCATAGTATGTTCTATAAATTCTGTCCTTTTCTTCTACAACCCATGTATGGCCATACGACAGTAGACGGAATTGACGGTTGTCTGTACGTCTGCATGGATAGTGACACTGTTGGTGTGAGTGTGTGTGTGTGTGTGTGTGTTTGACGATTACTTGCATCCATTTGCATAGTTGAACGCCTATCATAACGATTTGTGATGCTCGTTATATTCGCAGTTTTACAACCGTTTTCCTAAAGGTACCGGTTACTGCGTCATAGAAGGAACAGTTCCTCTTGTCCCTCGTCTATTAGGTCTAATTTGCTTTTCTTGATCTCCAAATATACCAAGGTCATCTGTACCCGGAGCAGGATAGAGTCATTGTTTGGGTGGTCCAGTCTTTTAACCTTCATTATGCGTCGAAACCAACGTTTCCGCATGAAGTTCAACCGTTGTTCTGGTTCCTTTCTTGGAACAACCGTCTTCATGCTGTGCAGCAGAGTTGGCCTGAGAGAGGCAAGGTACGGATGGATGCTGCTGATGAACACACTAGAGATGAATGTAAATGTAAATAAATGTAAACGATTATGCTTTGGCTGTGCGAACGTCCTCCATCCCCTTATTCTCCAATGACTGTTAGTGTGGTGCTCTAAACTTTTTCGTACACTCGGTGTTTTTCCCGCTCGTTTATGACTTATTCTCACAAAAGAAGCCAACGTGACTCCACTGCTGAAGTAGTCCCAGATACATGATCTCAGTCGACTATGATTTGAGGCCATGTAATTAAGCCTGATTCGTAATCAGCTTTTGAAGATGCCTGATTTCGCGGTAGTTAATCCCGCGGCGGATGATTAAGTGTGCACTAATTTGACCTCGTCGTCGGGTCTAGCACCGTTGTAATGTTTTCCATAAATCACGCTTTACACCCTATTTTTACTTTCCGATGTACCTCTTCCCCTGAGGAGTTGTTTCGGCGTCAGATTTATCGCCAAGTCGTAAAGCAGGTCTGCGTTTAAGGCGTCGTTCCCTTGGACACACGCTGGCAGCCAATTACGGCCGCGAGCATCGTTCCAGGCTTCTTTCTTGCCCATCAGTTATCAGTCGTGCGCAGCCGAGGTCTGTAGTGCTGATAATGACGGCTCCTTTGCAATTCGCATGCTGAATGCGTTATGATCGGTTTGGACAAGGTGCAACTGTCGGAGCATTGCGATGAGCTTGTAAAATGCTTTTATGACAAATCATTCCTTCCTAAATTTTATTCGATAAACGCTAAGGTGACCGAAACAATATGTCCTTTAAATTAAGTCAGACTGGACTGAGTCAAAAGTCCTCTTCATGTACTGGCTGCATGCGTTCATTCGTCTTCGAAGCCCTTTATTCCTTTCGGGTCACGGGGGCAGAAAGTTCAGAAGGGTTTTCCGGCGGTCCTGACCTTTCAACAATCTGGCAAACTCCAAATTCCAAAGCGTGATTACGTCAGACATTCAATATAACTGATTCACTCTGTCGTCTTGGTCGTTATTATGAATGAATTCGTTATGTGACCAATTATCTGTGATGCTTAGACTGGTTCACCCAGTTTTTATTGCCATCTTTGAGTTAAAAGACTTATTCCAACCAACAGTGCGACTTTGGTCATGAAGATCAGTGTTTGTGGTATGCTATCTCTTAGTGGCCCTGTTTGAAGTTGCCCTCATGATGACTAGCATCCTTGCTCCAAAATCAAAGCATTTAGATAAAACGTTTCTAGTCACCTCATCCGTAGTGCATAAGAACATTGTGTCGTGGATCGACTTCATCAAGCAAGCCATAATGGCTCTACAGTATTTCGCTTTAGCCAATCCAAGTAAAGGCTTTCTGACCAACCAGCTCCCGCCTAAGGCTCACGTTTAGCAAACGGACAGGATATGAGCTTCATCGACGTCTCTTTCAACCATCCTTTCTGGACCGCGATCGATCGATGACACCAAGCTGTCATGGACTGTTGCATTTTGCGTTGAAAGTCATCAGTCA